ACAAGTTTTTAGTGGAGTAACTTTTAGAATTAATAGAATTAATTAATTATTAATTTTATTAGAGCTCAAAATTATAAGTTCATGAGTCCCCGCATCATCCTTGTAATATTTCCAAGACAAGGTGAATTATTGAGATTTAATATCACTCAAAATAAATAATGTGATTATTTAATTAAATTAATTTTGAAACACATTGTGGAGGGACCATAGTTATTTGGTTTACTTGTTTGACAAGCTTTTCAATCAAATTCAAAAGGGAAAGTAAAGTTTAACTTTATTTAGATTTGAATTTGAGCTAAAATTAGAAACTGGATTTCCTGCCTGATATTTGCGTCAACCACAGGGAAATATCCTGTGGTGTGGCCGGCCAAAGTAGTTAAGGAGGCAAGAGAATTTTGTTTCTAAAATTAAATGGAAAACTATATTTTTAAATGAGATTTAAAATAAAGTGGTAACCAATTATCTATTGCTTTGCCTTTAAGTTAAAGCAAAGGGGTCCTCTTAGGATTCTATAAATAGGAGACAATAGAAAATTAGAGAACATAATTTTTCTCCCTTCCCCTATGTGATAGGCATTTAACATAGGTGTTAGGGGCGTGTAACATGCTGTTAGATAGCATGTAACATCCTAGTGGTAACCGTGTAACCTGAGAGAAAAAGAGAAGAAAGGTTCTTGCATTCCCCGTTCCACCTCTTATATGTGTTGATATTGTTGGAAGAGAAAATTAGCGAGTGATCAATCCTATAATTCTAAAATTAGAGCTCACACTCTAGGTCTTGCAGGTTTCAAGGATTAGACGAGAAAGATTTAGATTTTCCTAGAAAGATTGGAGCAAGGATTGTTCGTGGTCAAAGAACTCAAGTTATCGACCTACTCGTTCGTTATGTAAATAAATAAATTAATTTAATTTATTCGCGTATAAATTAATATATTTTAAAAAATGTTTCGAAAGTTTAATGAAAGTTTTTATTATACACGATCTACTAGACATACGCTTCCGTATCCGAAATAGTTTCGGAAACCAACAAGGGGTCCTCCTAGTGTTCTATAAATCAGAGATAATAGAAAATTGGGGAACACCATTTTTGCTCTCCTTCATCGTAGGTGGCCGAAATTCCCAAGAGATAGAAAGAAAAGAAAAATTCTTCTAACTCCCAGTTCCTTCACATACATGCGTTGATAATGGAGGAATACAAATTAGCGAGTGATCATAATTCCATAGTTCCATATTAGAGCCCATACTCTGGGCCCATTTAGTTCGTTGATTCGAGTTGAGATGTGACTTTGTGTGAGAGCTTTTTACTGTAGCAAAAAAGTTAGATGTGACTGTTTATGAGAACTTTTTACTGTAGCAAAACTCGAATCGGCAAAATGAACGGGGCCGCATCTTGCAGATTTTAAGGACTAGACGAGGAATATTCGAGTTTTTTGAGAAAAGCTTGGAAGCTTGGACTGTTCGTAGTCAAATACCTCAAGTTATATGCCTAATTGTTCGCTATGTATCTATTATTATAAATTAATATGATTAATTTATTATTGCATAAATTAATATATTCTATAGAGCATTTAAAAATTTTATAAAAATTATTACTATATATGATCCGCACATACACATTTTTGCATCTGAAAATGTTTCGAAAACCAATATTTTTTTATATTATTATATTGTCCTTAATGTTCTTATTATAATCAATATCAAAACATGTTTTAATTATTCATTAAAATGTGTTATAATATCTAAATAAAAGCCCCCATTGCCAAGGCTTTGGCTCCGTGCCTGAACTTGTGGCTGATAAAGTACCATTTATAGGTTATAGCTAATATATTAAGGACTCGTTAAATTCGTCAATTTAAGTTTTTAATTTGAGTTGAAATGTAATTTTATGTGAGAATTTTTAATTATAATAAAAAAGTTAAATGTGATTTTTTATGAGAATTGTTAACGGTAGTAAAATTAAAATTAAAAACTCGAATAAATTAAATTAAAGATAATTAAATAATTTTTTTTCCTAAAAAAATCAGCACTATCAAAGATTTTAAAATGAAAAGACAAGTAGCGTGCACGAATATTAATTAAAAGGAACATGCCACATCTTCCCGATAATGGTACAAAGGAACTAAACTTTTCTTTAAATACCATTTGCTAAATTATTACTCTTTC